CCTTCTCTCAGGCTAGAGTCTCAGATTGTCCCTATCGGCTGTCTCCTGTGGTCCCCCTTTATACCACTTCCCTCCACCTAGCCTCACCTCGCCCCCAGAATATCTGTGCAGATGCCGAGCCAGTGTCTCCCAGCCGACTCCGCCCCTCTATTGGCTCTGCTGCCGGGTCTCAGGCCGGGGATGCCAAGCCAATGGGAGGCTGCTGCCTTAGCGTGTTGGCTGATGTCCCAGCCTCTTCCTCCTCCACTGGCTGCCAGCCCTGCTGCTGCTGCTGTGGCTGCGCCCGGCCAAGGCCTGTCCCTGCGCCTCCCTCCGACCACTCCAGGGGTCAGGGTGGCTGCTGGCTGTGCCATCCCTGCCACAGTGGGCTGCCACCATCCACTTCGGTAGCAACCCAAGCTGCAGTGTTAGGAAAATCAAGTAACGAATAAATATACACTGCTAGAAACTTCTGTAAATTAATGTGTTCTGTTTATAACTATCATTCTATAAAGTGCGTTGTGTATTATTATAAAATCCTAATCAGGTATATATATTGAGTACATTCAGTATAATAATAACACACAGTTCATACAATATAACAACTACCAGTCAATTTTGCATCAGTATTTTAAAAGTCAAACCCCAACGGGAGTTTCAAGAATTACAAGCCCGCTTCTACTTGCATGAAGTCTTCCAGAAGGGGGAAAGCTTTCATTTATAGTTATGTTGATGCTTATTGCTGGTCCTACAAAAGACTATTTAAAAGACATAAATCCGCATTCCACTTCTTAAAGTATACCTAATGTATTTCAGTCCAAGGCAGGTCTAGACTTTACTTTGATATTTAAAGGGGACATTCTCCCCCCCTTTTTTAGGAGTCTAAGTAAGATGGTAATCCAGTTCATAAATGGCATGAGAGGTCCATTGCTTGGTTCATTCCCTCTGGGGTCAATGTATGAAGCTTGTGAATCCACAAATTTTCTTTGCAGAGAAGAATCTTCTTGGTGTCTTGTCAGTTGAGGCTTTGATTCTCATATTTGTAGATCACAAAGAATTTTAAGTCCTCAAAACAATGTTGTGCTGACATGCAATGCTCTATCATAGGTGCATCAAAATTTTAATTTTTTTCTCTACCTGTGCTAGCATAAAACATTGTATATGTAGCTCTTTGTGGGTATCCAAAATATTATGTGGGCAGTTCCACACGTTCATTAAAAACATGTGTCATGGAACATAAATCGAGATTGAAAATAAAATAAAATTTTTGACTCCTTAAAAAGGGGGAAGAATATCCCCTTTAAATATCAAAGTCAAGTCTAGACCTGCTTTGGACTGAAATACATAATGTGTACTTTAAGAAGTGGAATGTGGATTTTTGCGACTGTCTCTTTAATTAGAGAACACTCGCAATAACTGTTAATAGGTGTTGTAAGATGTAATTACCAAAAAACAACGTTAATACTATGCAGCCTTGAGAATGACAGGAGCTTAATAATTTAACAGAAATCAACAGAAATCCATGAATTTTAGCTGCACAATGTGGTAAGAAAACTTATGAACAGGGCCGGCTCACTTGCTAGGCAAACTAGGCATTTGCCTAGAGTGTGGGTCGGCCCTAGGGGCACCAAACAGGACCCCTGCCACCCCCGCCAAAGCCCCCCAGCCCCTACCAAATTCTCCATGGCTAGTGGCTTCCCTGACCGGGCGACTGCTACTGCCAGCCTCTGAGTTCTAACTGAGCCTGGGCACCACGCCAAACTGCACACGGCAGCCCCGTCCCCGCAAAAAGCCCACACGCCGCCCAGGAGCCCTGCTTCCCGCCTCGTGCCTCCCCTCAGCGCCCCGGCCTGGAGACAGTCTACCTGCTGGGGGGGGGAGAGGAGTTGAGAAGCCACGCGGCTGGTCTGGGTGGGAGCGCCGCAGGGAAGGAGGACAGCCTCTTCTCTTTGCACGGGCTCAGGGGCCTCGGAGCTGGACTGCCCAGCAGGGGGGCTCTCAGTGTCTTCGGCCTTGTTTCTGCGAGGGCTTGTTTCTGTGTGGAGGGGGTGGGCCCGGGGTTTTTGAACTCTGCACCCAGCCTCCCCCCCTGTGCAGTTTGGTCTCTAAGTCTCCCTGGCGAGGAGGTGGCTGGGGGGGAAGAAGAAAAGCACCTGAGCAAACGAAGGAAGGCAAAGGAGAGGAGGACCAGACTTGGGGCGAGAGGAGGGTATTGGCAACAGCTGCCTCTGCCTGCACCCCCCCTGCCAATGCACAAAAACACCCAGCTGGGGGGGGGAGAGAAGGGAACAGAACAGCTCCCCCCTTGAGTCCCTGGCTTGCCATTTATTTTTTTAAGGGGGGGGACTTTGTCTCCAGGCCCTGCCTGGAGGTTGGCAACCACATAATTGGGCATGTGTGTGTGGGGGGGGTAGCGCCAGAAGGTAGCCCCGCCTAGGGCGCAAAAAAACCCCGGGCCGGCCCTGCTTATGAAGCCAAGCTATACTAGAAAAACTGTATAACTTTTAGACTTAGGAATTATATTTTTTAAATAGTCTTTTGTAGGATCGGCAATAAGCATCAACACAACTATAAATGAAAGCTTTCCCCCTTCTGGAAGACTTCATGCAAGTAGAAGTGGGCGTGTAATTCTGGAAACTCCCGTTGGGGTTTGACTTTTAAAATACTGATGCAAAATTGACTGGTAGTTGTTATAGTGCATGAACTGTATGTTATTGTTATACTGAATGTACTCAATATATATACCTGATTAGGATGTTATAATAATACACAATGCACTTTATAGAATGATAGTTATAAACAGAACACATTAATTTACAAAAGTTTCTTGCAGTGTATATTTATTCGTTACTTGACCATCCACTGCGGGCCTGCCACTGTCACCCGACACATACATCTCTGGGCCCCGCTGTGGGCCTCCTGTCACTGACACTCACCATTCTTCATGCTGCACAGCAGGCCTGTTGTCATCACTGCTGGCCCCTTCCCTCCACCCCCAGGTGAATGTCTTGGGAGGGTTGGGGTCCGTTGCTGCTCATCCGGGGGGGGTGTGCAGGGGGTGGCGGGTGCCCCCACAATTGTGCAGTGCCCCTGCTGGGAGGGGGCCTCACTGGGGCCAATTCTGGCCGGACCAGGACACAAGGGCATTTTTATGAAGGGAAGACTGTATATGTTTGCAGAATGTTTTTAGGTAGTTTTTATGGTGTGTATTGCTAATTCTTATTGCAGTGTTGTTTTTCAATTAATCTGCCCTGATGATCTCCAAGAAAGATAGAGTATAACTAAAGTAATCATACCAGCTTAAAAGTGTGGTCTGAAGGCAAATATGCAGAAGCTAAGCAGGTTCGGCTCTGGTCAGTACCTGGCTGAGAGAACCCCATTGCCTGGGGCCCTGTGCCTACTTCCTTGACTCCCATGATAACCAATAGGTGGAATAGAATGCACTCAAAAATTAATCATGACTGTTGTTAGTGGACTGAATGGATTTGTACTTTTGACCTACTTTGCCTTTTCTTATTGCTGGGTTCACACAATTTTCTTAAGAAAGAACCCTTGCAGAAGCTTTCTCTGCCTATACTGGCACCCAGGAAAAGGGGAAGGGGCTCTCTTTTGCTCAAGACAAATCTTGGCAAATGCTTAAGAGCACTTCTAGGACTCACTGATTTCCTTGCTAGACTGTGCTTGGGATTCTGCTACTACTACCCAGAGTTCTGGTACAGGCAGGTACTGCTGGTAGTCTCTATAAGCATTTATAAATTCCTCTTTCTCCAAAATACCTCAAAACTCTTACTGATGTTGTTGGAGTGAGTCATTTTAGGAGGATGGATGGGAAAGGAACAGAAGATTACACACAACAGTTGCTAGAAGTTGGTAACGCAATAGTGGCAAATCCCTGTGCGTGGCCATGACAAAGGCCAGAAAATGCCTTCTCAAGCAATGTTTGCTGGCTTGGGCCTCTTGAGGGATGACAATTCCCTTCTTCTGAAGGGGGACTGCATGTGCAGAGCAGTGTTTCCTCTAAGCTGAGTTAGTGTGAGCTAGCTCACAGTTTTTTAGCCTCCGGCTCACACATTTTTGTCTTAGCTCAGGAAGGATGGCTCCAGAGCAAGCTAATTTATGCAGCAGCCAAATCACTGGCTCACAACTTCAATGCCAGTAGCTCACAAAGTAGACTTTTTGCTCTCAAGACTCCACAGCTTAGAGGGAACATTAGAGCAGTCCTCTAATACAGAAGGGAATGGAGCAGTTGTCACTCATGCCAAGTTTTACATGCACTCGGGAATCTTCCCAGATACAGCTCATGATGGGGGGGAGGGGGGGGTGAAAAGATACAATTCATCACACATTTGTGTTCATTTTAAGACTGAAAGAGTTTGACCTGGGCCAGAATTATGAGACTTAGCTTATGGACAATGGTTGGCTCAAATATGCAGAAGCAACACACAGTACTATTCTTCTGTACTAGCCTTTTTTGCTAGATTGTACCACTTCACTTTATGGGTAGGAGACTGCAAGTCTGAATGCTTCATTATGTTAAAAGAAAAAGCCTCCCTATGGAGTTAGCACACCAAACAGAAGGCAAGACCAATACTCTTCTCCCTGGCATGCTAGATTACCATATGCAGGGATTTTTTTATTTATAAAAACCAAATGTGCAAATCCTCTGCCTGCAATCTGAAATGAAATAATTTTAAACTGGATGGGTATGGAGTGCTGTTTCAAAACATTTGGATAAACTCTCATTTAACAAAGTGAAAAAAGCAAATTCATTACAGGTTGGTGAGCCAACACTGGACAAGGTTAACCTGTGGTAAACTGAAGTGCAGATAAGTCCTAAGCAAGTAAGCCTCCTTGTAAACTCCAGGACCAATTAGCAAACATTTGACATTTTTAGGAGCACTGGAATATTCTTCACTTCAATGAAGCGCCTCAGCAAACTTCTGGTCAACAGACATCACTCCATTGATGAAAATAAGAAACTACAGGACAACCCCTCTGTCCTGCCTAAAATCTGACTGGACAAACTATCTCATTCACAATAAAATATACTTAAAAAATAAACTCTTTCTTTTCATCATCTGTTTCAGCACATACAAACATTTCAGAAGGCAGGACATAGCTCTTGGTATGGTCATTCATAAATGTAGCAGGCTGATAGGTGCCTGCTTTCTTTGCACAGATGCTGGTGTGAGTCCAGTGGGCCCTCAGTCACTGGCTCCTCCAAAACCTGTGAACCAAAATGTAGCTTGCATACCACTTTGCTGTAGAATTCTGTTATTATTACTACGGTCACCTTTGAGACAAAACACTATTTAATTGCTCTCTCTTGAAATGGAAGAATAATTATCATACAAGTATGTGATTTGTTACTTTACCTATTGAATTGGAGTACCAAGGATATAAGTGCTTTGTTGAAGAAACGCTGTGCATCATGCCCTTAAGCGCTATTATATATTTGGATTGTTGTACTAGTCCACATTTAATTTCACGAAGCTACACCTAACACCTTTTGTGCTTACGATTCTTGGTATACCATAATTTGGTTGGCGTTATCATAGTCATCGTTACATTTTGCAAGCTCTTGATAGCAGTGATGAGGCTACCCTGCATGACCGATTAAGAATATTAGTGAAACCTATGGTCTGCATTTCAGCGCTCCATGCTCATGCAGTGGATGGCATTGGTAGAGGGAGCATGGTTCACATTACAGCGGTACCAGGAAGTGGGCCCACCAGGTTCAAGCATGTATTAGCACCAGCTTGGGAATCGTCAATATTCTATGGAGTTCACTATTGCTATTGGTTCATCAAAGGTTGCCAACATGATTTGCTTTGTGGAAGGTATGGAGATTATATCCCCTGTGTCTGTTGGTGAGTTAATTCTATCATCTAAAGAATTGTCTATAAGGTCTGACACCTCTTCTTCGTGGTCTTCATATAATGTTTTGATGTGCAAAAGAGGATGTGTGGGGTTACAGTTTAGAGCAGCCACTGGTTCGGCCTTGGGGACCTGGCCCAGGGTAGCATTTGCTGTTGCAGCAGAAGTCGCTATGTGGTTGTGACTGCACATGAGAAAAGTGCCAGTGGCCGGCACAGTCCTGCACGTGTCATGTGAGTAAAGAGCATCTTTTCCAGGAAGGGAAGAATCTGAAAGGGAAAAAAATACAGATTAAACCACCACCTACTTTACACGCTTCCCAGAAGTTCTCTGTGGAAGAAACTGTGCGAGGTCACAGTATGCTTCATGGATGTACAACTCTTATGTGGGTGGGTATAATTACTATCTACATTTTGCTTTAAATTCCCACAGCAGTACCTGTAGCTCACGTACTAGTATATTAAAGCCTCCATGTCCCTGTAGTGGTAACTGTTTTCAACAGCCAGTTCAGGAATCTATGGCTGGGGATTCCTTATCCTGTCCTGCATTCCTAGCAAAATAATAATAATACTAATATTTCCTCACTCTCCAATTATTGCCTCATTTGATTGTGCTGTTTTTCTTCCTTGGCCTTTCTAAGCATTAACTGCTCTTTGGGAGAAGGAAGGATAGGAAAAAATAGGTGGTATCTCAGGAAATAAGGGAAGAAAACAGTGGGTGCGATGACATTCTTCACTCTAACAAAAAAAGCAAAAAGCAAGGCAGCCATGATAATGAAGGGTGGTAGCACCAGTTTCCTCTGTGCTGGGAGACTCACCAGCCATGGCTACCTGTAGTTGGAGGCAAGCATCTGATGTCTCATTAACAGGCTAATGTATGAAATGGTCCTGAGAGAACATCTGCTGGCAATGAAGCCATCAATGTGACTAATACTATTCTGCGCTCTGAACCCGAGGATGTCGTTCCAGCACTGAAATAAGCATCTGCAAAAAATAAATCCCTAAAATTCTTTGAGGACATTTCATCAGAAAGACTGCCAAAGATATCAGTGATGGCTAATTTTAACCTAACACTTTTTTTTTTCTGTTTTAGCAAATGAAAACACCACCACTATGGACTTATAGGAACACTCTAAAGCTAAAATATAGAATGTAGCGTTACTAATGACAGATGGAGCTGAAGTCAGAATGTGCAGTTAAAAAGCATTCCTGAAATGTCTTATAACAAAGTATCTCCACTGGAATTAACAAAGTTACTCAGGAATAAGTGAGTTGACTACTGATATAAACAGGAAAACTCTAAGGGCATATCCATTTCCCCCCCCCGAATACTCAGTGACCTCATCAAATTATAATTTCCAGGATTCTTTGTGGAAGTTATGACAGATACACATTTGTAGTCTAGAAATATCTGAAGTGACTTTGCAAGATGACTGAGAATAATTTTGGAAGTTATGCTAAGATGGGGAAACCAGATATATGTATTACTCATGCATCTGCTGTTTGAGCTTCTGGGGTGACAGCCTTGGGCTTTCGTCCAGACTTGTGAAAGGCAAATGCATGAGGCAACTGCACATCAGTTCTCTGGCTCCTGCCCAAATTGATTTATGACTAAATGCAGGCATCAATTACTGGTACTGTTTCATATTGATTACCTCTTCTTGCATTGTCCATGCATACTTATATTAAAATCCTAAGGGACATAAAATAAAATCACTGAGAGGCATTTCTCTTATTCTCTCTGTGTTGCAGTCCCAATTGAGATTTAGGATGTCAACCAAAAGTCTTAGTTCTGACACAAAAATAAACTGAAACATACGGTCATTAGCTGTTCCTAATGAAAGAGATTGGCAATCTGCAATTCATAGCTTGAAGAATGAATTCACATGATTAACTGTTATCTCTGTCCATGTCACTTTTCCCAAATCACAGTTCAAATGAACAGTTCAAATGAGGTGGTACAGTCAGTCCCTCCACAAGACTATACCTCCTTCACTATCATGCAGGGAAATACTTTATTTGAAACTCTGCTAATATTCTCCCCCCTTTTTTGAAAACTGTGTTTATGTTGAAATTTATTACCTCAGATAAGGAAAGCTCTACAACCAAGATCTCTTTGAGGGCTCAACTACAATGTAAAGTTTATTCTATGGCTGCGGTCATACACACTAAATAATCAACTTTCAATGCACTTCCCAACTGGATTTTGCCAGTTCACACAGTAAAATCCAGTTGGAAAGTGCATTTAAAGTGGATTATTTATTTAGTCCGTGTGACTGCAGCGTATGTTTATTTTAAACCAGGTGCTTTTTTTTCCTTTTGCACTGCCACTTCCAGAAGGGCATGTAGAGAAAGGGAAACTTTAACCCTTTCCTCCTCTGCTATTTTCTCACTGGAAAGAACTGAGCCTGAGCTGCTTTTACTCCAGAAGGGAAAACTTAAAAACCTTATATTTTTTTCACCTGCAAGGGTAAAAGCAGGGTTATTTTTGGGCAGGAACGCACAGGAACGGAGTTCCGGCTGGCTCCCAAGTTGGCCACACCCAGCAGGAACTCATTAGCATAACAGGCCACACCCAACAGCAGGAACTCATTAGGATTGGCTACATTAGGGGTGTGTGGCCTAACATGCAAATTAGTTCCTGCTCCCAAAAAAGCCCTGGGCTTTGAGAACAAACAAGGTAAACAGAATAAGAAGCAAAAGGTGGGTGTGGCCTAATATGCTAATAAGTTCCTGCTGTTGGGTATGGCCTATTATGCTAATGAGTTCCTGCTGGGCTTTTTCTACAAAAAAAGCCCTGGGTAAAAGCATCACGGGGGTAGCTTTTTCTAGGAAGAAGAGAACAATGAGGAAAGTGTTAAATTTTCCTTTTCTCCCCATGCCATCCTCCTCATGTGGTTTCTGAATACAGAAGTTACTGATACATTGTAAGATTCCAACCATGTGGAAGCACTGATCATACCAAGGGCTGCCAGTCTCCAGACGTGGTGTGGAGTTCTCCACGGATTACATCTGATCTCCAGACCAGATCAGTTCCCGTGGATAAAACAACAGCTTTGGAGGGTGCACCCTATGGCATCACAGCCCCTGCGCAGCCCCCTCCCCTCCCCTCCCCCCACTGTGCTCTACCCCCAAATCTCCAGCAATTTCCCTACCCAGAGCTGGCAACTCTAACCACACTTCTGTGAAAAAACACCAACAAAGGTAGCAGTTTTATAGACATATTTCTTTAACACCATGTAACAAGTCATAGCATGATCACTGTACCTTTGAGGGCAGAGGTGACACGCACTATGACTTTGTCTTCTTGGTTTAAAAATCCACTCCCTTGACTTTTGGATGTTGCCATAGAGGTTATGGGCTGAATCACTGGCTTGGGTTTTTTATTGCTGCTCAGTATATATGGATGAACATCTAAGGAAAAGTGCCTTGCATGCTTCTTCTCACTACCTGTGCTGGACAGAGTGCTTGATTCAGTTTTAGGAGCAGATGATGGCTGAGAACTTTTGGAGGTAGTCTCTAGTAAAGGGGCAACAAGGCTGTCTGTGGCTGTTTTTCGACGGACTGGCTTAGGCTTCTCAGGCTTGTTATTTTCAACCTTCATAGTTGCCAACTGCTCTTTGAATGGCTGAGGGAGAGGATTGGTGCTTGGGATCCATTTCATTTTCTTACGAGGTCGCTTAATGATCAGTGGCTCATTGGGGTCAATGCCTGCAGGATCAATGCCTGGGTCTATGGTTTGTATCCCAGAATCGCGCACGGTTGGTGTGACATCATGATTGGACTGGGCTAGTGCCGCAAGAAGCTGGCGCACCACATTGTCATACATCAAATCGCTCTCGTTGGTAATGAAGTCCAAGCGGTTCAGTGACTTTATATGGTCTCGATTTTCATTGCAGAACATAGCCAAGATATTGATATCACAGAACTGAGATTTCTGCCACTGCTTTTTTGTCTTGATGCCAACTTTGTTCAGTTTGTCAAAGATGAAGTTGGATTTGCGGAATATGAAAAGGTGAATTAAATTGATGAGAATAATTAAGTTCATGAAGCAAAGAAGAACAATGTCTACCCCTGCAATTATGCGCTGAAGCTGCACAGATGGCAGTTTGCAGTTCACTCTAATGAGCAACTTAGAATTGGTGGTTTTGTCAGGAGGTTCGCCCAGAGCGCAAGTAAACTCATTTTGTTTCTGTGTAGCATAATAGGTAGACAAGTAGGTGACTGGAATGATGCTTAAGAATATGATGAACAAATGTCGTGCAAGATACAGTTTGGCTAGGAAATTGCTGCGGCCTCTCCGTTCCAGGTATTTCTCAAACAAATTTTGCTCTGGACTCTTTTCCTTTTCGGCATTCTCAATTATCTCTCTTTTCTCTCGCTCAGTGATCCCAGGGCCTTTGGACTGGATTTGCTTTTCTATTTTGGGTGCACGGCCTTCTGCTGCACGGTGGTAGCAGTTATCTATTTCCTGGAGCAAAAAGTTAAGTTCAGAAGTCAGTCTGGTAGAGGCCAGGAATTCCCAGCCAAGTGCAGGAATGTACATAATACCAGCAAAAGCCAGCAGGGCATAAGGAAGGAACTTATGCTCAAACAAGGAGGGCCAGTGGCTGGCATTTACTCCTGGCAAGGCATCTTTTAGTTCTGTCCAACAGTATCCTCTGGCATACAAGGCTTGGTCACGGGTGAAGTTGTGTGGTGTGTAACAGTATATTGGCTCCTCTGTATAACAGAGAGAAAAGTCACTGCTATGCATTTGACCTACAAAAGGAGCTCTACAAAATTAGTTTTTCACACACTACATCAATTGTCATCTTTTGTATACTTAAAACAAGCATCAAGTGCACAACGCAGCTTTGCTCCTATAGTGCTAACATCTGCCTTCTCAAAGGATAGTATCCACACAATCAACAGTGATTCCAGGTCACCATAAATTCTGGGAAGCCAACAAATAGCATAGCACTGATAAGACTGTGTGAGGGCTTGTCTGCATGCAACACAAAAGGTCTAGTATGCACCACGCTGCACATTTATCATCATCATTCTTTTTAACCGTAAAGAGTCAGGCCCCTGTTATAACTGTGAGAGCAGAACAGAGTGACTCGTTGACAAGGATGAGTAAAGGGAGAGGAAATTAGTTTGCTCAAATCCCTAAGAGTTTACAGAATCCTGAAGGGGTAGATTTTAGAGCCTCTGGCATGATTTCCAAATTGACCACTCCCAAAGCAATTCCTTGTGGGCCTCTTGTATACATGGCTGAGTGCCTATCATAAAGTTAGCAAAAGGGGTCAATCTGAAGACAAGGCCAGAGTCTCTGCATACTCCAGGGCAATGTTCCCTTTAAGCTGAGTTAGCGTGAGCTAGCTCACAGTTTTTTAGCTTCCGGCTCACACGTTTTTGTCTTAGCTCAGGAAGAATGGCTCCAGAGCAAACTAATTTATGCTGAAGCCAAATTGCTAATTTACAAATTTAATGCTAGTAGCTCACAAGGTAGAATTTTTGCTCACAAGACTCCACAGCTTAGAGGGAGCATTGCTCCAGGGGACTCCCCAGGAATGCAGGAGAATGAACCCTTCCCTGCTAAAACAGCCTGATGTGAACTGAGCCTGCTCAATGTCTTCAGAATGCTGAGAACAGTAAAGGGCTTTTCCACACTAATTTGTACTTGTCTACATTCATGTTGTATGCATGTACAGGTGTTTGTGTGAACAGTGTGTATTCATTCGGATGTTGTGTTCAGGACCTAGTATCAAAATCCAGAGCCTATTTGGCACACACTGAGTCACTGTGGATTGTCAGGTTCTTCCTGGCCACCAGCAGGGGATGGGGGGTGGAGTTTCCAGATTCAGGTTGGGAAACTCCAGGAAATTTGGGGATGGAGCCTGGGGAGCACAGGGACCTCAATGGGGTACAATGGAGGGTAGAGTCCACCCTCCAAACCATCCATTTTCTCCCGGGGAACTGATCTCTGTACTCTGGAGATGAGCTGTAATTCCAGGGGATCCCCAGGTCCCACCTGGAGGCTGGCAACCCTGGCACATAATGAATAAATGTAGCTGTGTGTATGATGGATATATGCATGAAGTCTATGCTTGTACAGAGAATACAAACGGAAGGCATCCACACTGAAAGAGGCTTACAAAACTATAGAGGGAGAGGATTGTTAGAAGAGGGGAGATGTTTTAATAATTTAATCTCCTCCCAATGATTCCTCATAGGAGCCTAGCCTGTTTGAAATTTTCACTCACAGTTAAATAGGGTGGTCATATTAATCTTCCTTTTCCTGCGGTGAAGCAGGTCAATATTTACATGGTGCGATTTCAAGAAATTCAGTTCAAGAAACTCAATCTGAGAACTTCCTTAACTTCTATAAACAGAAGCTCTGGCTGGATGGAATATTGCAACTGCCTTTTTAAAGTCTTGAATGCTCCATGGCCAACCCCATTTGCAAATCATGTGTTTTCTTTGTAGTGCCACAGTTCCTACCCACTACCTGAAATGTAATGCATTCTGCCACCTGCACTGACTCCCACAAAGGTGTTTTAAATTACCTCACAGCTGGGACTACGGCTGTTATTTCCCTCTTCTGTGATGAATTGCCCTGTTTTGTGGAACTTCATTTAAAAATCCAGCTTCGAAGAGCACAGACCAGTCTCAGCCCTAAGGTGTGTTTTGATGAACTACAATACATGACCAGCAAAACTGAAGATTTAATTCACAGACCATTTCAGTGACAGTTAATAAGGCCTAGTTTAAATCACCACTCAGTGGAACAAGGGTACATAACTGAGTCCCATCAAAGGATAGTTTAAAACTGGAAGACCAGCAGAAAGTGTCTCATTGTGAATTCAAGGAAGTAGAAGGAAAAAAGTGCTGGACTTTGAGATAAGGAACAGCTAGATCTATGCCTAGGGCAACACTTGTCATTATACAACACCTATTATGAACAACACTGGCAGACTGTAAATAGGAACCTAACTTTCTACTGTGTCCCTGTATCCACAAGAGATAATTACAAGATAGTAATACATGCAAATACCTGTCCCTTTCTATTCTGAACCCCAAGATTGTTGTCTTGGAATGCCATGCACGCTTTATAGATGGGCGTCTGACAGGTTTCACAATATCACAATCATAGCCTCAGCTTAATATGAAACATTTTCTATAAATAATAGCAGCTTGACATGGTCGAAAGTAACCAGTTGAATGCTAAGTAAAAAGATTATTTTGTAATACATTTTTTTACAGAAGTTACACACTAGATAACATTGGAGTCTAATAACATCCATTTGTTAATTCCTGCTAGTTGTAATTCCTTACATTTGAAAACTTTCTGGGATCCTATTCAAGTATCAGATGAATGCTTCTCTTTATCTGCTAGATCCCCATAGCCCTTCAAGGCTGTACTTATGATTCCTTCGGAACATTTTTATCCCACCAAACTAAATGATTTAGATTTTTATGATGGTGCTTGCCAGTGTGTTTTCTGATGCACCTCTTGGCTTTCCTTTATCTCAGTGGATCAGGAGGTACTTCAGAAGACAGCAGAAGGCATCAAATTTGGTTCTGTAGGATACACCCACTTAGAAATAGCTGCCCCTATCATTGGAGAATACTTGGATTGGACCCCCCAGTATCTTACAATCCTCCCCACTTGGCAGTCATTTTGTGACTGGTGCTGCCTTTCCTGGTGGCAATTTTTTGTGACTGGTGCTGCCTTTCCTTGTGGTGGTGCCCACGTAATATAATGGCATTAAGTGCTACCTAGAAAACACTCTGGAGAGGTGTTCAGGTAAAGACACCAAGGCTCTCCAAAGAGGGAAAGCTTTTGCCAGTCTTCTAAAGTCAGACAGAAGGAACCAGACAAGTGTTCCAGAAAAGAAAACTTCATAACTGTTGTGCTACTGAATAGAAGGCCCTAGAATTATCTTACTATTGCTATCTGTACCTTTCAAAAGAAGGGATGTACAAGTAGGACGGCTTCTGCAGACCTTGAAATTTCTTCAAATACTCTAAAACTAGACTACACCTTAATCTTTCTCTACGAGTATATTTTTATTTTTTTAAATGTGATATGATAACAGTAAAACTCAAAAGCATACAATTAAAGAGTCTAAATTGAAATACTTTGAAATTGAAATAAATTGAAAAGAAAACCCACTACAATTTATATCCAGGTTAATACTTCTTTCTTAATAGTCTCTGATGGAAAGTTTTGGTTACAGTAGTCAAATAAACAAGTTTCACGTTTGAATGTTCTTTGGAAAGTCTTTTTTCATTACAGAAATCTTATCCATTAACATGACAGACACACAATTTATGTACCCAAATCTCTGTCTTCGGAAATGTATTCTGTTTCCAGTTCTGTGCTAATATAATTCTGGCTTTAACAACTAAAATTGATACCAAATACCACTGATTTTTAGGCAATTGGTCTGTATCAGTGGTGGCGAACCTATGGCACGGGTGCCAGAGGTGGCACTCAGAGCCCTCTCTGAGGGCATGCGTGCCATCGCCCCAACCAGGCCAAGACCATCATTAAAGTGTCGAATTCTCTGCCAAATAATTTTAAGTAAATGAAAGCATTTGGGATTGCTTTCCTTACTTTGTTTGGATCATCTTAGGTTAATGTATGAGTTGTTTTTTCTAAAGTCCTCACACCAAATATCATATGAAAACCAAAAACAATCACACAGCTTGCTGTCAGCATGCATATAATAATAATTTGATCTTTCTTCACACACTCTATATTTTTGTATTCCCTCATAATTTCTCTAAGAAGTATGGGGCAGTGTAGCCAAGAAAGAAAAAGTGGTCCAAGTTCACCTAAGTGGGTGATATTTCCAAGTACATTCCTTTAGCACATCATGTATAGTTGACATGCACGTCATTGGTAACAATAACACTACATTTCAAGGGTGATACTAGACTTCTACTTCACATACTAAGTAGGTCAGCCCTCATTGACAGGAATCTTGCAAGGATTCCTTTGCACTCCATACACACAATGCACCCTTTCACATAACACCCCCACAGCCTGTCATAATTATGGGCATTTTGTTAACTATATAATATGTATCACCAGCGCACTGTGAATAATTATTTTTGCACATTAATATTTTGCAACTGAGGCTCTCAAAATATCCTCTGAAATTAATGAGGAAAACGTAACCAGAGATGTTCCTTGGCTAACAGTTCAATCCTATGGCAAGTTCCATCTGCTACACCTCCATGACATTCAGTAAGTGCAGTTTGAACAAACTTTGGACTTAAGGCAGTGCATACAGTGACATGTCAGTCCTTTAAGCCTAGTGAGCTATAGCCACATAGTGACCACTGGCTCTGGTTGGGAGTTGAAGACCTACTTTAGGCATAGCCTAAGCTGGACTTTCCCTCCTATAAAAAACAGATCCCTGCCTTGGAAAACCAACTGGCCTTGAGGCACAGAGTCCCCCTTAGGTGCATACAGATGTGGATCTCTCTCTCCCTCCCCTCTTTTCTAAAAGAACGAACTGGAGGGAACTCTGAAAAAGCAGGTACCATCTTAATCAGCCAGTGGTTACCAGAGGACTTGCGAAATCTTTCAGAGTTGTTCTGTATCAACTAAATGCGCCAAGTCTTTGCTCATCAGTGCTCTACATCAAAATAGACTGATTATGACAGACAGGAATTTCCTGTGGCTGAAGAATACTTCAGTGAGCAGGTGCTTAATAGCTGCCTCAAGCAGGGCTCTGGAGAGGAAGAACATAAATTCCTGAAATAAATATGTTATATCCAGTACTACTAATCAGTAGCACTGTTGCTCTTACTGCTTCATTCAAAACTATAAACCATTGACCAGGTACAGTTAGGAAAATGCATAGTGGCGTAAACATGGGCACTAGAAAAGGTTTTGGTTTCTATAGAGAGAGTCTGTAAACAACAACAAAAAATAGCCATTGTCAGAATTTCAATAGTCTGCTTCTCAACATAGAACTCCTTGGTGCTGATTTCATGTAATTCAGAAGTGATCATTTTATGATAAACGCAGAGCATTATGTTTTATATGGCAAGGACCCACAGCACAGAAGCATTCATTGCTGAGATTCAAACTTATTCTGTGGCATGGGGCAGTAGTGATAATCTGGATCTCTGACCTTTACCACAATAGATCTTGGTGTGAAAAAAACAAGAAAGCAAGGACTTAGGAGTTCAGCTAGCAGAAAGAGCTTATTGCACAGGCCTCACACATGACAAAAGTGTAATTATGCAAATCATTTTTGATCCCTCTGAAGCCTCTCATGCACAAGCCCCACTGAAATGAGTAGTAAATGAAGAGCACACACCTGTGAGATTGTGTTCCTAATGTAGTACACCACTACAGATGTGCACTCAGAAAGAAATAACCTTTGGGTATATGATTCAATGAATAAAAATATGACACAGCATGTGAATTATTAGATTGTTTTATTGAATGAAAAGTATGGTTCCAATGTTCCAGTGGATGGGATTTAAAAAAGAAAGGAAGGGGGGGGGGAATGAAAATTGTCCTGGATCCTCTTCTTTCTGGAAAATAAATTATAATAGATTAAAATAGTTTAAACTTGTATATTTATTTGCTGCCAAGTAATCACATCAACCTTTGACAGGCAAGGAATTTTATATACCCTTACTCTCCAGTATGACCAAGTGCAGTCATAAGCAGGGTTACACCCATCTAAGTTCACTGAGGCCTACGAGCTTAGAAGGGTTAACTCTGTTTTGCAGGTATTATATCCGGGGTCAGTTCCCTCCTAAGATACTCACATGCAAAGGCATGGAGGCAACATGTTCTGAGAAGGTCCCCAGTTAGACTTGCCTCAAGATCTTTGGCTGTCTCCTGATGACCCAAGATCCCTACAAATGGGTGGGATGTCATCCACAGGATTTTCCTGAGGGAATATTGCTTTCTGCTGCCTATACCCAAATACAGGTCTCAGTTGTGTCTACTCTCTCAATAACCTTCCTGGAATATGTCAGTCTGCCTGCCTGCTTGCCTTCTGAGTGTCTTCCCCATCTTCCCAAACCAATTTTCTAACAACCAGGGCCAAACCAGATGTTCACAGCATCCATGGGTCTGACCTGTATATGCTGCTGCCATTTTAAAGCCTAATGAGGTGATTTAAAGAGGCTGCAAGAGGCCAAGCATAATCGAGCCGCAGCACAACAAGATGCGGTCTCATGTCTTGACAATAGTCTCCGAGCTACTGATGTGTAGTTGATTCTTCTCCTTTAACTGATTCTCCTTGGATCCCACTTATGTTCAGGGAGCATGCTGGGACCTGACTCTCACACTACCCAAGCTTTACACTGAAATTTACTCATGAAATATACTCACTCATACAGCCAGTGCTATTTTCAACCAATAGAAAATTTGATTCCTCACATTCTCTTACAATGCCTTGTTGAGAATTTTTGACATAAAATCGGCAGTGATAACCCGACATATTACTAATACTGTTTTTTCCACAATTTAATAAGATATCAATATTACCTCAGTGTTGTGATTCTAAAAGTAGTCCACTGAAGTTAGTATAACTGAATGGGATGATGCTACATGTTCAAGGAGTTAGTACCTGTTATTTAGCTTAGCTCAGGACAAAAGATTATTTCCAAATATTAAATAGACTTGTCACATTGTTAAAATTTCAATATGGCTGGCTGTAGATAGCTTTGAGGTAATGTTTATATATGAATAACATAGTATTTGGCATGTAGCTTGGCTTGCTTACTTGAATCATTTTATTTATTTATTTATTACTTCAATTTATACCCCGCCCTTCCCACAAGCAGGCTCTAGGGCAGCTTACATTAATTGGTACCCAGTACCATAAAACCATATACAAAAGTTAAAACATTTTAAACATTATAATCATAAAACGATGCAATTATTAAAGTGCTAGTGATAATAGTCAATAATAGACTCTGAGGTGTTCTCCCTATTTGCATATCCACTCTTTCTGCCCCATGTCAACTATTTGCACAATCATTCTTGCTGCCTCATGTCAACTAAAGGGCCCCCTGATGATCTATTGGCTAGAGGCCCCTCAAATCCTATAAGAACATAAGAGACGCCAATGTTGGATCAGGCCAAAGGCCCATCCAGTCCAACACTCTGTGTCACACAGTGGCCAGAAATACCAGTGCCATCAGGAGGTCCAGCAGTGGGGCCAGGACATTAGAAGCCCTCCCACTGTTGACCCCCCCCAAGCACCAAGAAGACAGCATCACTTGCCCCAGAGCCCCTAGCTATACCTTGTGGCTAAATCCTGACACTGTCTCTGTCTTTCAAATGAAATAAAAAGTGCTCACAATGGATATCAGTTTTCCTAATGAGATAAGAATTCCTTGCAAGGGGTAAGACTGCCCATGTGGCTTTTGAAGGGTTGCCAAGAGGCCTTGGGAAAAAATGTCATGTACATTTAATAAAGGCTTAGTATGTGGAAAAGGACACCTGAAGCCTTTCATGGCATGGAAGAAAATTATATCACCTGGAAAATAACAGCCCATAAAGGGACTGGGCACTTTTCTCCAGATTTATCAGCATCCCTAAAGTTCTGTTTTGAGGTTACTGAAGGGGCATAGATAGCCCACTGCAAATTGGGTCCCCTGTAGCCAGTGGTGCTGGATTTTGGGGTGCATGTTCAGGGGCCCAACTAACAGGTTTGGCAGCCCCCCAAAGCCCAAAAGGAGACTTTATTTATTTTTATTGGACTTGTATCCCACCCTCCCTGTGAGCAGGCTCAGGGCGGGTTCCAACAATATCAATATAATATACAATACAATTAAAACCACTTTAAAACAACAGATTAAAACACCACATAATTATGAAATACTGTGCAAAATCTAATTGGATGTTTCAGCAGTTAAAATGGGACAAGAGTGTGGCTTCCCAGATAGCTACTTGAATCCAGGCCACTGATGGGAGGCCAGCCAGAGAGGGGGATGCCCGTTGCCTCAACCAAAAGCCCAGTGGAAGAGCTCTGTCCTACAGGCCCTGTGGAATTGTAATAAATCCCACAGGGTCCTGATCTCATATGAGAGTTCATTCCACCAGGTGGGGGCCAGGACCGAAAAGGCCCTGGCCCTAGTCGAGGCAAGTCAGATGTCCCTGGGGCCGGGGACTACCAAAAGGTATTGATTTGTCAGTGCTGTATAGGGTTCATATGGGGAAAGGGGGTCCCAAAGGAATACTGGCCCCTGGCCATATAGGGCTTTAAAGGTAAGCACCAGCACCTTGAAACTAATCCAGTATTCAATAGGCAGCCAGTGCAGTTCACGCAGCACTGGGTGGATACGAGCCTGTACAGGCGTCACTGTCAACACCCGCACTGCCGCGTTCTGCACTAGCTGCAGCTTCCAGAGCAGAGTCAAGGACAGCCCCATGCAGAGAGAGGTACAATAATCCAGTCTGGAAGTGACCATTGCATGGATCACTGTAGCCAGGTCCCAAGGGGTGAGATATGGGGCCAGCTGCCTGATCTGCCTCAGATGGAAAAAGGCAGATCTGGCAGTGGCAGTGACCTGGGCATCCACGGAGAGGGAGGCATTGAGGAGCACCCCCAGGCTCTTTACCCCTGACACTGGCACCAGTGGAGTCCCAACTCAGGTGCAGGACCTCCATCTTGGGTGGAGTCCCAACTCAGGTGCAGGACCTCCGTCTTGGATGGATTTAACTTCAGTTGGCTCTGTCACAACCATCCAGCCACAGCTTGTAACACCCTGTTTAGATCTCCTGGGGCTGAGTCCAGGGGGCTGTCCATCAGTAGACAGAGCTGGGTGTCATCCGCATACCGGTGAAAACCCAGCCCATACCACTGGATAATCTGGGCAAGGGGGCACATATAGATACTAAACAGCATAGGGGAGAGAACTGCTACCTGTGGCACACCACATTCCAATGGGTGTCATTGGGATAACTCCCCCCCCCCCCAAGTGCCACCCTCTGTCCCCAACCCTGGAGAAAGGAGGTCAGCCACTGCAAGGCAAGCCCCCATATCCTAGCATTGGTGAGGTGGTGGATCAACACATCATGGTCAACCATATAGAACGCTGCTGACAGATCAAGAAGTATCAGCATCACCGATCTGCCTTGATCTAGCTGTCTCCAGAGATCATCCACCAGTGACCATCTCCATCTCCATCCCATGAGCAGGGCAAAAGCTAGACTGGAAGGGATCCAGGACTTTAGCATAATCCAAGAAAGCCTGAAGCTGCGTTGCCACTGCCATCTCTATTACCTTACCCAGGAAAGGTAAGTTAGATACTGGGCAGTAGTTATTAAAGACCGCAGGGTCCAAAGAAATGTTTTTAAGAAGAGGATAACGTCACATTTGCAGTACTATCCAAAGGATGGAGGCATAAGATCATTAAGTCTAAAATTACCCAAATGGAACAGTTGATTGGAGTAACATATTAATAAGGGTCTGAACATGGATTTCTTATATCTTACATCAATATTAGCTATTCCACTATAGTGGCTGAGCCATTGCTAGATGGCCAAAAGCAACTATAAAGGTGTTTGTTGTAATGACTGCCCTAAATAGGTGACTACATCAGGTTTAAAGAGCTATTTTTGGCTGACTCAAGTGCTTGGGACATGCCTGGCAGGATTTTTTTTCTTTGAAGCAGCAGGTACCTGAGTGACAAACTGTCTTTGGAAGTGAACTCCGTTTCAAAAGCGGTTGGTCACGGAGCATGGAGACTACTGGTTAAGAAACACACACTGGCCACATGAAACTGGTGCTTTGTATCGTGGCCTAGGTTCATGTGGTGTATGCTACTTACACATTGCAGTTCTAAAAGATACCTACCAAGATCCATCTGGTTTCATTGTTCTAGCGGCTGCAGTTATAGACTACAAGAGGGGAACCTGGGAGGACCTGCAGGGGATGGGAAATTCCAACTCCTCACTGGCCCTTGTTGAGTCCATCATTCCAGGGCTCTTTTTGTGGCAGGAACTCCTTTGCATATTAGGCGACACACCCCTAATATAGCTCCAAGAGCTTACAGTAGCCCCTGTAAGAAGAGCTCTGTAAGCTCTTGGAGGATTGGCTACATTAGGGGTGTTTCGCCTACTATGCAAAGGAGTTCCGGCTACAAAAAGAGCCCTGCGAGTCCCAACAGCTGTTCTGGACCCAGTCCCTCTTATTCCCCCAATTTTTTGAAGCATCAAGCAACCACCAGGTGCTTGACATATGGGAGATGGTACATACAATCCACCCAACCTTGGTGTTGCAAGTGGTGCCATGGCAAGCCCAAATGGTCTTCAGGTTGTCCTTGTTGCTCTTTTTTTTTTTTTTTAAACAATCTGGATTTTTCTGCAGATGTGGGGCTCACTTGGATTTGAAAGTAAATTATAGCCAGGGCTATACTCATTTTGAAGTTTTTTAATCTGCAGGGGTCAGATCATGCGTACTAGATATAGATATAGATATGAAGAACAACAACAAAATGAAAACGCATTTGGACTTAGTTTCTAGATCTCGAAAACTGCATTTTGAAAAAAGAAATAAAGATATATATTA